GAGAGGAGTCATGTTAGAGGGAAGGAGTCATGTTAGAGGGAAGGAGTCATGTTAGAGGGAAGGAGTCATGTTAGAGGGAAGGATTAAAATTAGGGGAGGGGAGTCACATATTAGAACAAAGGATTCCAATTAGGCGGGAGGAGCAATGTTGGAGGTGAGGAGCCAAGTTGGAAGGGGTAGTCCACTTATGGGGGAGGAGTCATGTTAGAGGGGTGGAGTCCACTTATGGGGGAGGAGTCATGTTAGAGGGGTGGAGTCCACTTATGGGGGAGGAGTATGTTAGAGGGGTGGAGTCCACTTAGGGGGGTGAGTGTCATGTTGGTCGGGGGAGGAGGAGGAGACAGTCACCTCATGTTGACCTTCTGTGCCCTCAGCAGGTCCTCCGTCTCTCAGACTGGTGCTGCTGGTGTTACTGGGAGGCAGCAGGAGCTCTGAGCTCTGAAACACAGACACAGGGAGGGTCATGTGACCTTCTGCCTGAAAGTGAACTTAGATAAACTTTGACATCTCACCTCCAGTGAGTCCACCTGCTCCACTGCCTACAGGAAATGACATCATCATTATTACAGTGATGTCAGACAGGTGATGGTTGTCCTCTGAGGACACCTGGGCCCGTTTCAGAAAGCTGGACCAGGCTATAAACCAGGATATTCCAGTTTATCCTGATTTATTCCAGTTTATTCCCAGATTAAGCAGCTCTGGTTGCTGGTTTCTGAGCATCACGGTCATTTCTCTGGATGACAGTCAGGTGATTGAACTCAGGTATCAGTGAACGGGCTGATATCACCTGTTCTAGAGAGAACCTCCTGATCATAACCAGGATTACTGCTCCCCACTCAGATTAGGATAATCCCACTCTCTGAATCGGGCCCTGGGGGCCGGACAGAGCGCGGCTCAGGGTGTGAGGGTGTTACCGTGTTCTCCAGCTGCTGTCGGTCCTTCAGCGGTTGGAACATCTGTGGAAACAGTCACATTTACTGCTAGTAGTGAAACATCTCAGTGATCGTAGATCTTTGATCCTGTCGGCTCTTCCTGTTTTTATTTAGAAAATAAATAAAGACTTATTTAAATAAAAACTTTATTTATAAAATAAATAAAAACTTATTTAAATAAAAACTTATTTAAATAAAAACTTTATTTATAAAATAACTAAAAACTTGTAGGGATCTCTGCTGCTGGTATCAGTTCTCTCTGTTTAATCGTTTGATTTTCTTCTTCCTGTTTTTATTATTTGCTCGCTAAATAAAGTTTGATTGGCAGCTGGATCTGACCAATCGGAGAACTCTTTAGTTCAATTGGTGGAAGACGCCTTCAAACCAGACAGGAAGTAGAACACCTTGACAGGTCCGATCAGGACCTTCTGTTTCACTTTGATCTTTGGATCCATCATGATGTTTGGTGGTTCTGTCCGACCCGCTTCTTCCTGCAGGTAAAAGGTTCTGATCCGTCTGATTTCTCACTGACAGAACATGAACGCCCCGCGGAGTCGCTCCTCTACAGGCCCCACATCCAACATGGCTGCCTTATAACATCATCTGTTTTCTCCTCCTCCCTGTGGAGAACAGAACCAGGTTCTGGTCCGGTTTTATTCTCCAGGGAAACAGGAAGTGATGGATTCCTTCGTTAAAGTGGGAGAACCTTTGCTTCTCTGTAATATTTCATGCTTATATTTCATTAAACCAAACACAGTAAATTGTCTCATTTTGGTTTTTTTTTTAATATTTTGTTTGTTTGTTTTTTTTTCTTTTGTTTGTTTGTCCTTATTATTAATAAAGTTCATTTTTTTAGTATGTCACCTGGACTTTAAGTAAATAAAGTTTTTATGGTTTTATTTTCTGGGATCAGAGCAAACAGGAAATCCTGCAGCTGTTCTGGTTTCAGAACGACGGTTTAACTAATCTGTGGTTCTGGTTCTGACCTCCTAATCAGAACCTCTGACTGCTGCTGCTGCTGCTGAGCATTCTGGGTAATGTAGTGATTACTTCCTGGACTGCTGCAGGGCGTGGATATTCACCTGAACTAGAACTGGACTGTTCTGGTTCTGGCTTGGTTCTTACCATGGGCTGCTGACTGGACTCTGAGGAGTCTGAAGAGGAAGATGAAGAGGAAGAGGAGGAGGAGGAAGATGAGGACGATGTCTTCTGCTGGGGGACAGGAGGCGTGCCGGTGACCTGCAGACAAAGTGATTAGTTCTGCTACAGCAGCAGAGTGGATGTGAGGAGTGTTCTGGTTCTGGCTTGGTTCTTACCATGGGCTGCTGACTGGACTCTGAGGAGTCTGAAGAGGAAGATGAAGAGGAAGAGGAGGAGGAGGAAGATGAGGATGATGTCTT